GGAGAAAGAAGGAGGGGAGAGAGGGAGGGAGGGGGGGAAGAGGGAGAGGGAAGGAGGAGAAGGAGGAGAAGAAGGACAGAGTGGAGAGAGGGGGGAAAGAGAAAGGGAGGGGAGAGAGAGAAGGAGGGAGGGGAAGAGAGACAGGGAAGGGGAGGGAAGGAGGGGGAGAGAGGCATTACAGACGGGGTGGGAGGTGCCCAATGGCAGAACATCGTCAGAAAATTCTTGCCCAGCGGAGGTGAGCTAGAAAATTTCGTTTTTCTCCAAAGAAAAGATTTATGCACAATCGGAAAAAGACCATTTCCCGAACGGCCGGCTTACCCGCCGAGCACCTCCCTCCCATCCGAGGAGACCGCCAGGGAAAATACGGCAAAACGGCGTTCGTCGGGCCTGCGAAGAAGAGACAGTTATGCCAGATGTGTGTGTGTGTCTCTCCGTCATTCAACGGGCCGACCGGGGTGGGGGTGCCTCCTCTTTACCTCAAGTCCAAGGCGGTCTGGGTCTCGCTCTCCCCGTAGATGTTGCAGATGTGAACTAAAGAGAGAAGGGAGAAAGGGCTAGTACGGACTCTCTGGAGGGAGCCTGGTTTCCACCCCCCCCAGCGCCATACAGACTCACTGTAGTCCGACCAGCTGGAGTAGAGGAAGTGGGTCCTGTCAGGAGTGAAGGCTACGTCCAGCACGCTCCAGCCGACGTCTCGGGCTTTGACAGTCCGGAAGTTCCGGAAGGCTCCATAGGCGCAGTCATATAAGCGGATTCGCTGGTCTGAAAGGGGAGAAAAGGAACAGAAAGGGAGACCGCAATCTAACACGGGAATCTTTTGGTTTTTTTAAAGATTACACCTGGGGGCCTACCTTGACAAGCAGACATAAAAAGTTGTCCATCACGGGAATAGATGCCGCAGAAGGCTTTCTGCAAATAGGTGTCCTTGACGGTCAGGTGATTAGGAAGGAAGCTGGAAAAAGAGCAAGACGCGAGGTATACCGACAATTCTGGCAGAGAGTCTCTTCTAAAACCACTTTCTGTCCGTTGTCCGTTCCTTACCTGAGAATGTACACACACACACACACACACACACACACACACACACACACACACTCAGACACACCCCTCTCAAATACTTACTGTGATACGATCTGAGAACATTCCCCTGCTGAGAAACTGCTGTTATGGCAAAGACCTCGTTCCCTCTGTGGGAAAGGAGAAAAAATTACCATTAGATTACATTACCCCCATCTCACAATCTCTTCTAGCGAGCAGGGAAACAATCCAGAAAATTAAAGTTAGGCCTAGGGTCGATTCTGCCTCGTAGCTTGATGGCAGAGGCCTCTTTTTGTGGGTATCGAAGTCACCCAAGGACATCCATTCTGAATTCGTTTCTTGCCAAAAGGGAAGAGTCTGCCCCATGGACAAGGACGCTCACTAGCACGGTGTATTCTGAAGCCCTAAAGTGCCACAAAGAGCAGATCTGACCGGCAAACTCACAACCTGACTGAGGGAGGGAATATACTGTCCAGATCAGAGGCTCTGCTTCTCTATAAGACCGATTCTAAACGACAGTTTCCTCCTTTTGAAGCAGTTTCCATCTTGTCTATGGTGATTCTTCGTCATCCAGTTCATGGTTGTCCCAAAAGTGCTTTTTTTTCCCCCACGAGGCAACGAGACTTTCTGGCTTATTTTTGGAAGATGTTTTGCTTCTCATCCAAAGAAGCTTCTTTGGCTCTGACTGAAGGGTGGGGGAAATTGAAGGATTTTTACTCCTTGCAGAAGAGCTGGTCATTTGTGTCCTTTTTAGAGAGCTGTTGAGGCCCCTTGGAGGTTTATCTGTGTCTTCAGGGTCACCTGAGTGGCGCCGATGGGTGTGGAGCCTTCTTTGAACAGTTGAAAGGACTGTGTTGTAGATTGAAGATAGATAATGTCATATATCCCTTCCCCTCTGTTGAGAGAGGGCCATTCAATTTTGACATAGACGGCCTCTTTAACCCCTCTTTCAAACGACCAGCTGCCTGCAAGGAGTATAAATCCTTCCATTTCCCCGACCCTCCAGTGAAAGCTGACGAAGCTTCTTGGAGGAGAAGCGAAACGTCTTCAAAGAAAAACCAGAAAGTCCAGTTGTCTCTTGGGGGAAAAAGCACCTTGGGGGCTGTTCCCACCCCGAGCGTTCAAAGTCAAAACGAACCAATTAGTTTCCAGCATTTTAGAACAGCGAAACACAGGATACCTGTCCCAGTAGCTTTGGGATGCTCCGGTCGGGTCTCCCTGGCCTGAGTCGCCCTGTTGCTAACTGGATGCGCGTTTTAATCTCGTTGTGCTCCAGATCCCGAGTGTCTGGTGCCAAATCCACTGCAGAAGATCCAGAGACAGAGAGAGAGAAAGAGACCACCGCATATAAAATAACCCTGGGCAAGCTTTTGATGTTTTTCTTAATGGACATCTACGTAGTTTAGTTTAAGTCTGACACTGTCTGAATGTTGGGCATTGGGCCTGAGGTCTAATTTAAGCGTTTCGACAGAACTCTGGATCACAAACAGCCCCCCGCCGACAGGCTGAAAGGCAAGACTTTCCAGAGCAAGGAGGGCGATTACAACATCCGGAATTCTAAGATCTAATCTGGCACAGCGAGCTTTTCCTTAAACATGAAGCCTGGACCTTGTTAAGTTTTGTCTCCTGCAATTATCTGTGCGTTATCAAAAAAAATAAAATAAAAACCACCTCTGGACTTCCTGGCGATACCTGGGGGTTTGTACTGATCTCCTAAACGTCCTTCCCAAGCGCTGTCAGTATCGTCGTCGGAATCCGAAACAGCCTGGAACACCCGGGCACTGGCTGTCCCCCCTCCCTGCATGAGGTGAAACTGTCCTCTAGGGAAAGGAGAGAAAGAGCAGCGTTAGTCACGACGGACCCCGTTGCGTCGCGAACGACTTGCCCACGTACGGGACTGTAATCCTTCAAAACCATAGAGTCTGAGCAACGTTTTTGCTTCCTGTTTTCTCTCCTCCTCCAATAAGTTTTAACTGAGCACCCATGGGATTACTTCGTCTGAAGCAAACGCTATTCTGAAGAACTGAAATTAAAGAGAAGAGAAAATGAAAGCGCAAATTCAGCTTTTGCAGGTAGAGGCAGAAGGAGTACAATCTGGGTCGCTAGTATTTTTGTATTTATTTGATTTGTCAATCGCTTACAAGATACAGGTATAAGAATAAATATAGTTTTGAATACATGAGATAGATACTTTTAAGAGAGAAAAAATAGGACAGGGACGGTAGGCACGATTGGTGCGCTTATGCCCCCTACAGACCACTTAGGAAAGGGGTGAAGTCAATAGTAGACAGTCTAAGGTTAAAGTTTTGGGGGTTTGGGGAAGAAACCAGAGTCAGGTAGAGTATTCCAGACATTGACCACTCTGTTGCTGAAGTCGTATTTCCTTCAATCAAGTTTGGTGCGGTTAATCTTGAGTTTGTATCTATTGTGTGTTCTTGTATTGTTATGATTTAAGCTGAAGTATTCATTTGCAGGTAGGACATTGCAATGTATGATTTTGATTTTATATACTATATTTAGATCGGACTGGAGGTAGCGTAGTTCTAGGTTTTTTAGGTCTAGAGTTTCAAGTCTGGTGGCATAAGGTATTCTGCAATGAGTAGAGGAGTGGAGAACTCTTCTTGTGAAATATTTCTGGACTTTCTCAACCGTGTTAATATCAGGTACGTAATGTGGGTTCCAGACTGATGAGCTGTATTCGAGTATAGGTCTAGCAAATGTTCTGTATGCTCTAGTTAGTAGTGTGATATTACCAGAGAAAAAGCTACGTAGGATTAGATTAACAACTCTTAATGCCTTTTTTGGCTCTAGCACTTAGATCATTTGAGATGAGAACTCCAAGGTCCTTGACAAAGTCTGGATCCTCAACAAGGTCTTGACTATTTGGCTTGTCTTTTATTTTCTGATTTTTTTTCTGCCAATATGTAAGACATATGTATCATATCATTCACTGAGTTTTGAGTCTTCCGAGTTTTCGGACTCATCCTTCAGGGAATTTTTCTCTACCAGAATGTAGAGATGTCTACATTCCAGTAGAGAGATGTTTACAAGACAAATATTATTCTCCACATGAAGTTCAGGCACTTAAAATGGAAGCTGGCCTCCAACTTTCTACAGGGATATAAATCCCCGACTGCAAATTGGAAAAAGAGGGAATTATCCTTATTTATTGAGTGCCTTGCAGCACAAACTGCTTTTGAGCCCTGCTCAGAAAAGTCACGGCCAGGGATTGAACCTACAAAAAGTTTTCTTGACAGAATGGTAATCAAGGGGAAAATATTTTTGGATTTGCATGAGCAATCAGCTGCTTCAGTTCCTAAATATCACAGGTTGAAAAGACAGGGAGGATAGCTGAGATCTTTCCAACTACCAAGATCAGGAAAGGAAGCAGTATAGAGAAATGCCGAACACAAACGTCTTTCTTCTCAGTCAGGCCACCCTGTCCACAAGGAATGGTCCTATTTCCCCTTTCATAGGTACTTGATCCCTTGGTCTTTCAAAAATGCAAGAGTGGGTACAAAGGCACCACCACAAATTCTTCCTTCACAGGAAAATGGAACTATGTTAAGGGCTTGATGATGATTGAGGTGCATAACCACTGCAAATAACAGAACAACTGAATGAAAAACTGCTGGTGACCTTCTATCGCTGCACCATAGAGAGTGTCTTAATGTACTGCACCTCTATGGTTTGCCAATTGCAGATAGGCAAGCACTATTTAACATCATTAAGGGTTAACACCATTGCCCAGAAGATCATGGGTTGCCCTCTCCCCTCTTTGGAAGAGCTTCATAGCTCCCGTTGCCTTAAGAAAGTTCAAAACGTTCTCAAAGATCCATCTTATCCTCGGAACCCTTTTTTCGAACTATTACCACCTGGCAGATAGTACAGAATAATAATAAAAGCAAGGACAAATAGGCTAAAAAACAGCTTCTATCCCAGGGCAGAAGCTCTTTTTAATTCTACTATATAGTGCAGTGTTGGTGCAGTGTCAGGGATTTTCAGTTCAATGTGCGGAGGGTAAAGGATGTGTGTTTGTGTTTATTTTCAGGGCCATGATGTGCTCTGAAGATGGTGTTTGATTTTGTTATTGTACGAGGTGCAATGACAAAAAACTAACTAACTAACCTGGCATAAACATGATTGGCTTCTGGTGGGAGTCCAACCCAACAATTAGGAGGACAGTTAAATCCAAGTCACGATTCTTATGACCATCATGAATTCCTTTTATGATTTATGTGTTTTATGGGATCCTCACACATAATCCTCGTTCAGGTCCAGCCAAGAGTATGAAGTGCACCCTTTAATTCCTTGTGGGAAATATTTGGTGTGGGTAATCCTCGATTTTTGACCTGAATGTACCCCTACTGGGTCTTGCCCCATTTTATCACCTTTCTTGCCCGAGTTGTTAAACGAATCACTGCTGAATCACACGGGTGTCAAAGTTATTAACATAGTGAACTAATCTGACTTGACTAGTCAGAAGGTCACAAAACGCGATCGTATGACGGACACTGCAGCGTCATAAATAGGAGTCAGTTGCCAAGCGCCTGCATTTTGATCACATGACCGCAAGGGATGCTACAACGGTCACGTGAAAAAAAATAATAGTCGTAAGTCACTTTTTTCAGTCCCGTCATAACTTTTAAGTCATTAAATGAATGGTTGCAAACTGAGGACTACCCACAATGGAACCCAGCAGAAGCAACATTGGTTTTTTTTTAGTGAGAGTGCATCCCCACAGTGAAGAGGACAGTTAAACCTAAGTCACGACTCTTACATTACTGAAGGAAATAAATATTAAGTTACTCTTTTATAATAGAATTAGAAATATTAAGGGCATTATTAAGCTGTGTTGTCTTTGCTGCTGCGTCCTAACCACAAAGTATGTTCAGTTAAACAAAAAGTGCTGGATAGTTGCAGGCTTCTTAGAAGACAGGAACATGGCCAAGGCAAGGCCACTGGCAATAAAACAGGCAGATATGAACATCCGCCCAAGGCTAAGCTACAAGTAAACAAGATAAGATATCCTGTGCCTAGGAAGAAACAGTCAAGCTGACCCTTATACTATAACTTAAGAGATAATAAGGGAAGTGGGGAGGGCTTCTTAGGCGTGGAGTGCATTGTGTAGAGGAAGAGACTTTCAAACTTGGCAAGTTTAAGACTTGTGGACTTGAACTCCTAAAATTCCTGAGCTAACATGACTGGGGGAGGAATTCTGGGAGTTGAAGTCTTAAAGCTGTCAAGTTTGAAGACCCTGGTGTAGAATGTATAAAATGTATTGATCTTGCTCTTTGAATTGTGAACCAGACCTGCCTCTGTATTGTGATTATTAAATAATTCGGGTCTTACCTCACATTACCATGCATTCCTTCCATGATTTACAGGTAATCAATCACAATTTAGGATATCTAACTGTCACTTTGCATTTGTATCTTATGATTTATGGTGACTGTATTTTATGATTGTGATATTGAGTTATCACTTTGTTGCTTGCATGTACACTGAGAGTGTCTGTGGAGATTCTCAATCATCCAGTCACGGTTGTCCCAAAAGTGCTTTTTTTTTTTCAAGAGGCAACTGGACTTTATGGAAAAAAAGCACCTTTGGGGAGAGCTTCTTCACCGGAGAAAAATTCCTTTTGTGTCCAATCACACTTAGCCAAGACAGAATACTATTCTACAGGCAGTCCCCAACTTATGACCACAATTGAGCTCAAAATTCATGTTGCTAAGTGAGTTTATGAAATGAGCTTTGCCCCATCTTACCTTTCTTGCCACAGTTGTTAAGAGAATCACTGTAATTGTTAAGTTAGTGACCCTGGTTGTTAAGTGAATCTAGCTTCCCCCATTGACTTTGCTTGCCAAGAAGGTCACAAAAAGTGATCACATGACTCCAAGGCAGCCGCAACCATCATAAATAAAAATCGTTTCCCGAACGTCTGAATGTAAATCATGTGACCAGAGAGATGCTGCAACGGTCGTAAGGGTGAAAAACAGTCATAAGCCCCCGTTTTCAGTGATGTTGTAACTTCGAATGGTCACTAAACAGTTGAAAGTCGAGGAGCACCACTAGAGGTAGTCCTCAACTTACAACTGTCTATTTAGTGACCGTTTGAAGTTACATCATTGAAAAAAGTGACATGACCATTTTTTACAATTACGATTGCTTCACCATCCCTGCGGTCATGGGATTTACCTTGGGAGGCTCGATGACCGGCTCACATTTATGACGGTTGCCGTGTTCCAGAGTCACACCTCCTTTTTGCGACCTTCTGAGTCAATGAGTAATCCAGAATCACTTATTCGCCAGGTAACTCATTCAACGGTGGCAGCGATTCACTAAAACAAATGTGGCACTTAATAAAATAACAGAATTGGAAGGGACCTTGGAGGTCTTCTAGTCCAACCCCCTGCTTAGGCAGAAAACCCTATACAATTCCAGACAAATGGTTATCCAATCTCTTCTTTAAAAATTCCAGTGTAGGAGCATTCACAACTTCTGGAGGCAAGTTGTTCCACTGGTTAATTGTTCTGTCAGGAAATTTCTCCTTAATTCCAGGTTGCTTCTTTCGTTGGTTAGTTTCCATCCGTTGCTTCTCGTGCTGCCCTCAGGTGCTTTGGAGAATAGCTTAACCCCCTTTTTTTGAGGCAGCCCCTCAAATATCGGAACATTGCTATCATGTCTCCCCTAGTCCTTCTTTTCAGAATAACAGAGTTGGAAGGGACCTCTCGAGGTTTTCTAGTCCAACCCCTGCTTAGGCAAGAAAACCCTATACCAGTGTTGGCGAACCTTTTGGGCACCAAGTGCCAAAACAGAAGCATGCACGCATGAGAGAGAGCGCCGGATACTGGAAGAGCTGAGCCTCCAGTTTCCAGCACCCACATGTGCACCAGCCACTCGGTCTTCCGGTTCCTGGCACGCATGCACACGCGAAAACCAGCTGGCTGGCGCACATGCATGCGCCTGAACCCAGAAGACCAATGGGCGACGGCTGGTGTGCCCAAAGAGATGGCTCTGTATGCCACTTCTGGCACACGTGCCGTAAGTGCACCGTCACGGCCCTAGACCATTTCAGACAAATGGTTATCCAATCTTTTCTTAAAAACTTCCAGTGTTGGAGCATCCACAACTTCTGGAGGCAAATGTTCCACTTGTTCTAACTGTCAGGAAATTTCTCCTTACTTCTAGGTTGCTTCTCTCCCTGATTAGTTTCCACCCATTGCTTCTTGTCCTGCCCTCAGGTGCTTTGGAGAATAATCTGACCCCTTCTTCTTTGGGGCAGCTTCCCAAATATTGGAACTTTGCTATCATGTCCCCCAATCAGTCCTTCTTTGCATCAAACGAGACAAATCCCAGTTCCTGCAACCGTCCTTCGTATGTTTTAGCCTCCAGCCCCCTAATCCTCTTTGTCGCTCTTCTCCGCGCTCCTTTAATAAACGGATTATATGACATTAATCAAGGTCTCCCTGAACAACCTACACTGTGGTAGCTTCACTGCGGTTGTAAGTCGAGGACCACCTGCATCCTTATCCGTGGGATGAGAAGCGAAATGTTTTCCAAGGAAAGAAAGCAAGGAAGTCCAGATTCCTTTAGGGATCTTCACCTGGGTGGTTGCCCCCCCCCCCCCAGACAGGGATCTGACAGTGGGGGAAAAGGAGGGAGGTGGGGGGAGGTGGAGTTACCTGCGCAGTAGATATGCCAGTACCTGGGCCAGATCCACATCCTCGTCCTCGTCTTCGCTCCGCAGGATGCCAGAGTCCCTCCGAGACCAGCTGCCTTGGTTCTCCCGGCCCCCTGAGCCAGCGTTGCTACTGCTGCGGGAGCCCATAGCTTAGGACATTCTCCAGCTTGGCCCAACACTCACACTGCCCCTCCTGGCGTTCAGAAAGGAGATGGTTGTGAAAGAGGAGGAGGAGGAGACAGGGCGGCCTTCCTCCAAGCCTATCCTAGTCTCTTTCTTAATAAGGACTAGCGCTTTGGGAGTGACTTCAGGAGGGTCCCTGTTCTGCCCCCCACGCCCCACCCTGCCATACCCGTGTTCAAATCCCAGCATTCAAGGCTGACGGGCTCCCCTAAGCAAACAACCCCCATTCCTGGGGGGGGCCTCTCGGGGGCAACTGCCCCCTCTCTAACCTTTCACCTACGTTCAACAGCACAACCCCCTCAACGAATCGAAAACCAAGTTGTTTAGAACGTGGCCAGCAATTCGCCAATGGGAGACGCCCTCGGGCCACGCTCCTCCAATCAGCGCGCGCCATATTGGGGGGGGGGCTTTCCCGGCTGCCCCTTCTTGTCCGCGTTGTTTTTGTTTTTATTTTAGGGCGCCCTCGGGCTGTTTCCCCCCTTTAGACCACTCACCCCCTCCTCGGGGTAGTTTTAGTCGGCCAATAAAATGCCTCCCGCTCTTCCTTTGGCTGCTTTCTCCTCTATCACCACCCGCGTTGAGCGCGAGAACCTTCTCACCCTCTTCACGGTCGGAGTGCGAGGCCTTGTTTACATCTTAGGAGTGCTGCCGCTTGAACCCGTCTGGAGGGGGCCGGGCGGGGCGGGGCCAGCCGGCTGCGAAGATGATTAGCCGCCACTTGATTCACGTGGTTCACATCAGGCTTTAAAATGGGGACTGCCCTGCTTTGATTGGTTGCTATGGCCTTTCCTCCTCCCGCCCCCTCTGTAAACTAGGTGATAAGGTAAAACGCGTCACCGCTTTGGGTGCAAAATACGGACGGAAGGCGGGCGATGGGCGGGGATGTTGCTGTCGGATTGGCTTTCTTGAGTTTGACCGACAGCTTCCGTGAAAACGCTGTGGTCGGAGAAATGTCTTAGATAGGAGGTGGGGCTCTAGGGGAACTTTCTCGCTCGTTCATTGGACAATAGTGAGTCAGGTGACATTGTGGCGGTTGTTGATAAAACTCTTATCAGAGAAGCATACCATCGTTATTAGCTGCTTACGTATTTAGATATCTTTTAAATTGCAATAAATATATCTCAACCCTGGCAACTTTAAGAAGGGTAGACTTCAATTCCCAGAATTCTCCATCCATCATGAGTAGACTTCTATTCCCAGAATTCCTCAACTAATCATGCTTGCTGAGGAATTCTGGGAGTCGAAGTCCACACCAAAGTTGCCAACAACCAGGAGCACAAAATTGTGAAACTTTGCAAATTGTGCATTCGTGATGTACACACTTAACTCCTTGATGCCCTGCTGGCACTCAAGTTTGTTATACATATCCAGCAAATGCTGGATGGACAAGGACATTTTTGCTGTAATTTTCCCCTATTGGAATTCTTCCAAATATTTTGGGTGCCTTGGCTGTGGATTAAGGGTGTTGTAGTCCCATAGAATCGAAAGACATCCTGAGAATATGAGAGCTTTTGGGAAAAGATGCTTAAGTATACTGCAAAGCCTATGCTAACTAGCTGTTCCCACAACATGCATAACCTTATAGAATAATCACACATTAACAATTATGTACATCATAGTGATCTGAAAATACAATTCTATAGATAATTGTCTTCTTCCCCTTATCCTGATCAAGCACTTGAGACTGGATATTAAAAATAGTTCTTGACTTATGGCCACAATTAAGCCCAACTTTTCTGTTGTTGAACAAGACAATTCTGCCCCTTTTTTTGTGACCTTTCTTGCTACCGTTCAAGTGAATCACTGTAGTTGTTAAATGAAAGTCATAAAAGACTATCACATCAACGGCCTCTTTTAATGACCCCATAATCCTTTGCAGGGTACAGTCTGGGCAGCTGAATGAAGCTGAGTGTTTATTGGCTAGATGCCCTTCCTGTCACCAATGCAGAGTTTTGTTCAACAGATATATTACCACTGTGCCCAGAGAGAGAAATATCTGCCTCTGTCTAGGATCGAACTCACAGCCTCCTGATTGTGAGGCAAGAGCTCTACCTCTAGGCCACTGCACCACTCATGAAAGATTATCCCATGACCCTGGGATATTACAATCATCTCAAATGCTGGATGGTTGTGAAGTATCCGATTTTTTTTTATCACGGCACCGTAGGAGCTTGCAATGGTTGTAAGTGTGAAAAAAGGCCACGAGATACTTTTTTTAGTGCCATTGTAACTTTGGTTAGTAAACTATGAGAAATCCTCAACTTACAACAATTTGTTTAGTGACTGTTCAAAGTTATGATGGCAGTTAAAAATAGTGACACAGGACTCTTCCACACATTAAAATTCATATGCTTCATAAGCATGAACCAGTTGCCAACCTTCCGAATTTTATCATGGGGACACTTGCAATAGTCATAAGTCACTTTTTTTCCAATGTCATTGTAACTTTGAAAGTCACTAAATGAACTGTTGCAAATAGAGGACTATTACAGGGCTGCCCTAAAGCACAGATTGAAGACGGCATAATTCAAGTTTTTCTAGGTTTAGAATTTCAAGTCTGGTGGCATAAGATATTCTACAACAAGTAGATGAGTGGAGAACTCTTCTTGTTAAATATTTCTGGACTTTCTCAACTGTGCTAATATCAGATATGGAATGTGGGTTCCAGACTGATGAGCTGTATTCGAGTATTGGTCTAGCAAATGTTTTGTATGCTCTAGTTAGTAGTGTGATATTACCAGAGAAAAAGCTACGTGGGATTAGGTTAACAACTCTTAATGCCTTTTTGGCTATGTAGCTATAGTGGGTTCCAGCACTTAGATCATTAGAGATGAGTACTCCAAGGTCCTTGACAGAGCTTGGATCATCAATTGACTATTCAGCTCGTATTTTATTTTCTGATTTTTTTTGCCAATATGTAAGACAGAGCATTTATTTGTTGAGATTTGAAGTTGCCATTTGTTTGACCATTCTGATACATAGTCAAGATCTTTTCGAAGGGTAGCAGTATTGTCTGTGGTATTGAACAGCTTTACATCATCAGCGAAAAGAACGCAGTTGCTCTTAATATGATCACAGAGGTCATTTATGTAGAGTATGAAGAGAGCTGGTCCTAGAACACTGCCTTGGGGGACACCACTATTGACAGTACAGAATTGGATAGGACACTCCCAATTTTGACTTCTTGTTGTCTGTTTGACAGGAATGCTTCTATCCAGTTATGCAGTTCATCCCTTCAACAAGAGACTGGACTGCCCACCTGTCAAAAATGGTGTAGGGTCTCCTGCTTGGGCGGAGCGGGTGGCTGGACTAGATGACCTACCAGATAGAGGGACTCTTGTTAATCTGTAATCTATAGACACACAAACACAGATAGCATTCTTTTCCAGTTCGGTAATCTATAGACACACAACACAAACACACATAGACCGACACAGACACTGCCAGACAGCCTTCTTCCCCAACTCTGCATATCATACATATGCTCCACACAATATTTACAGCAGAGGTCTCCAAACTTGGCTATGCTGGCTGAAGAATTCTGGGAGTTGAAGTCCACAAGTCTTAAAGTTGCCACGTTTGAGGTCCCCTGATTTACACCATCAACTAACTTCTCAGCGACAACCAGCTAGCCAGGAATTCTGGGAGCTGAAGGCCACACATCTGTTGGGGTAAGTATTTCTGCTCCAGTTTGTATAGCTCCTTTGCAGACACTCACAAATACACACAAACCACATCGGTGACTTGGAATAACACTTTTAAAAAAAAAACAACCACCACCAATTATTATTCTTATTTGTGTTTATTATTGATAAAATATTGGTTTTTTTCTGTTTCAGAATCTTCCCTGCCACGCACATCAATTACATTTCAGCCAATCATGTAACTTTTCTAGTTTGTTTGTTTATTTGTTTGTTTGTTTGCAGATGCTGTCTTGTTTCTGGTCAAAATGCTGTCGTAACAACCCTACCCAAAAATATTGACCATTTTTATTTTTCTTGGCCTTTTCTTGTCTCTTTGGCAGTGTGTCCTTCTCATCACAATGGTAAAATACAGCACATTATTGGCAATTTTAAAAAGGCAAGACATATAAACCCGTTATATGGAATCTAGAAAGACAAGGAATGTAGACAAGTAAGAAGAAAATTGACTTTTACATGGAGCGCCAATTAAAGGCTCCATGTAATAGCTACCTGTTAACATTCTCAGCTGATTAAGTGTAACAGGCCCATCATTTTAGCGTTTAAGGAGCATGCACACTTTATAATTTATTCCCCTCACTGGATTTAACATATTCATTAGGCTAAAACTTCTTCATTGGCTATTGCTTGCATTGTTGTGATGTCATGAAAACAATGCAATTTAAACTAGTGCCTTTCAAACATGGATGCTTTAAGATGTTTGGACTTCAACTTCCAGAATTCCTCAGTCAGCCATGTTGACTGGGGAATTCTGGGAATTGAACTCCACAAATCTTGAAGCATCCATGTTTGAAAAACTTGATCTAAACAGGATTCCCATGATTTCCATAGAAATGCAATATTAAAAGGCACCAATCCCTCACCCTGATCCGAATCCCATCCAAGGATGGTAATAATGGCGTTATCTTACTCCCTATCTTATTAGTCCTCACAACAATCCTACAAGGTAGCTTTTTACTCTAAGGCCACACTTGATGAAAGAGTCATAGCACCCAAGTTGCATTCTCGTCAAGAGGGATGGACAAGTTAAACATTTCGACAACATTATTGATACTCCTCAAGCCAATGTGAATTTAGCTTGTTTGAAAGTAGAAAAATTATTCATCTTTTATTATTCTAGGTCCACTTCGCAAGACTTGGTTAGCAAATCATGTAATTTCTCTAGACTTTTGTCTTTGGGCTCACCACTCTTCCCACTGACAATTTTTATCGGTCTTATAAAAATCAAAATTTGTGCCCTCCCATGTTTTAAAACACGGACAAATTTTCTAAAGTTGGTAGGAAAGCTGCAGTACTGTGAGACAGGATTGAAAATACAAATGGATCCGGACTGTTTTATTTTTAATTAATAGAAAGAAAACTCCGACACATAACCGCACAATTCTGGTTTGCTTAAGAGCTGGGCAATCCGGGGTTAATGTTGCTCAGATTAGGGGTGACGTGATAGCAGTGTTCAATATCTGAGGGGATGCCCCAAAGAAGAGGGAGTCAAGCTATTCTCCAAAGCCCCTGAAGGCAGGACAAGAAGCAGCGGATGGAAACTAATCAAGGAGAGAAGCAACTTAGAACTAAAGAGAAATTTTCTGGCAGTGAGAACAATTAGCCCGTGGAACTCCTTGCCCCCGGAAGTTGCGGCTGCTCCGACAGAGAGATTTTAAAGAAGAGACTGGGACAATCGTTTGTCTGAAATGGTAAAAGGATTTCATGCTTTCCGTGCAGGGGGCTGGACTAGAAGACCTCCAAGTTCCCTTCCAACTGTTATTTTGTGCTGTGTTTCAATGGAACGGTTGCCCTGATGGCAATAAGCCTGAGCAGGTCTCATGCGTAACTCTGTTTCTGCCTCCAGAAATATAAGCATGGGAGATAAATCTTGCAATTACCTTCTGCGTTCATTTTAAATGTCTCCCCCACCCCATTTTTCCTTATTCCCTCTCTCCCAAGTTTGTTTGTTTGTTTTTAATGAAAAATAAAGCTGGCCAAAGACCCCAAAGCCTCTCTGGAGCAGCTACGGAGAAGAAGCGCGGAGAAGAATAAATTTCTCAGAAGGCACCACACCATCCATTATGATGTCGTAAAATGAAAGCCCCCCCCCCGCCTCCCCCACAATCCCATTTCCCCAGAGCTGGAAAGAAGGACCGCCACGGACCCCGAAGGAAGCGAAACAGAGGTATCAAAGCAAGGTGACTCCGGTGTCAAAGAAGGCACGCGAGGCCGAAGAACGTTGGGTGGCCCTCAAGCTGACCCTGGAAACGTGATATGAGACTAAAGCGGCTTAGCTGGTAAGAAAAGAGGAATGGATATTTGTGTAAACAAGGCCCCTGATATCTCCTCTTCCCGCCCCCCCCCTCCGCCCCCGCTCCGAAAAACAGGGGAAGAATCTTTGGTCTTTTGTGGGACGTCTTCTACGGTTGAGGTTCCTCACATTTTCTTCACCCGGGTCTCCAAGGCTTCCAGTTGTTTCAAGACTTCCTTGGGTAAATCCTCAGGCACTTGTTCCGTCAGGTATTGTCTCACTTCTCGGACCTCTTGTTCCCAGAATTCCTTGGGCAGCGAGAAGAGCTCCGAGTAGCTCACCTGGCTTAGGCCTGAGAGGTCTAAGGCACCTTCCTTGGGGACATACCCGATGGGCGTCTCCTTCGCGCTTTCTTCTCCGTCCACGCGGCGGAAGATCCAGTCCAGGACTCGGGAATTCTCCCCGAAGCCTGGCCACAGGAAGTTCCCGGCGGCATCTTTCCGGAACCAATTGACGTGGAAAATCTTGGGAAGGCGGGCGCCCTTCCGCTCTTCCATGCCCAACCAGTGCTCCAGGTAGCGGCCGAAGTTGTAGCCGAAGAACGGACGCATGGCGAACGGATCGTGCATGATGACCTTGCCTGAGGAGCCACGGGAGAAGAGAAGAGGGAAGAGAAAAGGAACAACAGAGGTGAACGATCATGGCTCCCAGTGGTGGGATTCAAACATGTTTACTAGCGGTTCTGTGGGCGTGGCTTGGTGGTCATGGCAGGGAAGGGTACAGCAAAATCCCCATTCCCTCCCCACCCCACTAACCTGCTTTCCAGCTCCGTTCTTCTGTGCAGGGCAACCAAAGAAGACCCAGCCAATCAGCTGGGAGGCAGAGAAGAGATGTGGGCGAGGCCAGTCAGAGGTGGTATTGGCCGGTTCTCAGAACTACGCAAAATGTCCGCTACCGGTTCTCCAGAACCGGCTGAATACCACCTCTGATGGCTCCCAAACACGGAAAATTAGGCCTGTTAAGCAAAGTGATGGTTAAGTGAATCGCAAGCCATTTTGTGACATGTTTTTTTGCCATGGTGTTAAGCGAATCCTTGCAAATTAGCACTGATGATGTTCTCAGTATGGGTCATGAAACGTCTGCCGGAAAACCACCAAGCTCAGAGAGCACCAAGGACCCTACAGTCATCGTCCTCCAACTCTTCTTCTTCTCCGTCCATTCCTTTCCTCCTCCTCCTCCTCCTCCTCCTCCTCTCCATAAATCCTATTCCCTTCCAGCATTGATGATGTTACCTAGATGGGTCATGAAATGTCTGCAAGAAAACCACCAAGCTCAGAGAGCACCAAGGACCCCACAGTCCTCTTTCTCCATCCATTCCACTTCTCTTTTTCCTTCTCCTCCTCCATCTTCTCTTCCTTCTTCATCCCCTCCTTTCCTCCTCCTCTTTATTCTCCGACCCTTCCTCTCCTCCTCCTCCTCCACAAACCCCATCCGTTCTAGCATTATTTGTCATGAATCGTCTGCAAGAAAATCATCCCACTCAGAGAGCACCAAGGACTCTATAGCCCTCCTCCTGCTCCTCCTCCCTAAACCCCACACTCCCTTTATAACTGATGATGTTCCCTAGTCAGGTCATGAAACGTCTGCCAGAAAACCACCCGACTCAGAAGAGCACCCAGGACCCCACAGTCCTCCTCCTCCTCCATCTCCTTTTCCTTCTCCTCCTCTTCCTCTTCCACCTTCTCCTCTTCCTCCATCCATCCATCCTCCTCCTCTTTCTTCTCTGACCCTTCCACTCTCCTTCCCCATTCCCTTCTAGCACTCATGATGTCATGAAACATCTTCAAGAAAACCACCCAATTCAGACAGCACCAAGGACCTTTCTTCCCCGTAGTTATTAAAGAATGTGTGAATCCGGCCATCGTTGTCGTCGTCCCCTCCCCCGTCTCCCCCACCCCACATAGACTTTGCTTGCGGGAAGCTAGCTGGCACTGACACTGTGACTGTTGTAATATGCACGCCAGTTGCCAAGCAATCAAATTTTGGTCATGGACTGTGAGGTTGCTTTGCAAGAGTCATAAGTAAACCGCTTCTTTCAGTGCCATTGTAGCATCAAACGGTCACTAAACAAATGGGTATAAGTCGAGGACTACCTATAGATACGTTTCCAGCCCCTGTCAGTGTAAACACACACACACACACACCTCATTTAAAAGGCGAAGTGCTGGCTAGAGTGATGAAGCTTCCAATATTAATCAACTAGCTCGATACCCGCGCTTCGCTACGAAACTATGCGATCAAGCTTAGTTTTTTGGGAGGAAAATAAGGGTGGGGCGGAGGAATTGTGCCTCTGCCTACCAGCATCCATTGGTATTTATCTGGCTAGCATCCTGTCAGTGTGTGTGTGAGAGAGAGTTGAGGGCTGTTTGGAAACTGAAACAGCATTTGCTGTGTGAGCGAGAAGGAGACAGCAAGGAGCTTGGGCGTGGCTTAGCTCAACTGTTCTGTACTAAAACTGCTTGGTGCTATGAAACTGAAACTCCTCCGCTTGTGTTTTGCATTTGGAAGAGATTTCTTTCCAGGTGGGGAGGGGGAGTAGGACTCCTTAGCATCAGAGCGTGTTAATAATAATCATCATCATAAATGGAAATACTCTAAATGCTCTGATGGTCATTTGATAAAATCCTTTCTTAGTGAGCCCCTAGAAGCCAAGAGGAACATACGGGCCCAATTTCAAGTTTGTAGGCTTTACGGTTCTGGAGATTTTGTGATGATGCATGAGCGGTATTCCGCTTTTATATAGATAGATTAATTCATTTTTTTCCCCCGTCATTATTGGATTAACTTTTTCTGGCCCAGCAGTCTTGAGGAACGCCCCCTCCTTCCAAATGATGGAAAATCACAGCCGATCTCGAACCCAGAGCCCCCACCTTTGTGCTCAGCCGCCGCCGTGGACTCCGACCGCATGGCGCTGCCCACGAAGACCCCGTGGCGCCAGTTGAAGGCCTCGTACACCAAAGGCACCCCTGGAGAGGGTGGAAAAAAGACACCAAGAGGTGATCCCGAGAATATCAGATGGTCTGGAGAGACAAGGTTGAGGGACCACAGCTCCTACCTGCCGGTCTCCTGCCCCCAAAGATGATGGCTTCGATGGGGACCCCTTGGGGGGATTCCCAATCCGGATCCATAATGGGACACTGCCGAGCTGGGGCACAAAAGCGGGAATTTGGATGAGCAGCAGGTTGTGGGTCCCCTGGGGGAAAAAAAAAGAGGGAATGTGATAAAAATCCAATAAATCAATCTGACAAGAGATGCATGAACAAATATATTATGTGTGTGTGTGTCTGGGTGTCTCTGTGTGTGTACCTTTTCTAAAGGCTACCCCTGTTCCTCCCATTCTACATTCTCATTGGTCAAGATCAGAGGTGGGTAAGGTCTGTTTTTAATAATGTCCATCGCACTTGTTATTCCCCTTCTAACTCCAGTAATTTATAGAATCCTTTGCATAACCTACGTCCATTCCGGCAATATTTGTTTCTTACTTGAAACTAAACACCGTGACCCTCCAAAAAGCCCGTATGACCCGACAGAAAGCCTTACCTGCCCTGCCAAAATACGTGCTTGCAAAATTTAGAGCAAACACGTTTTCATGAAAATCGAAACTTTTATACAACTCCAGCTTAATTCGCCTGAAGGGTAAATTTGGAGCAAGTATTGCTACGTGTTTTTAAAAGAACATTTTATCTCACATATCACAGGGGAAGACGTAGGACTTGAGATGCCCATACTCAAATTTGATCTGAAGAGATAATTCTTCAACCTCCTTCTTTGCCCTAATAGACAATCAGGATCCTTTGGTCTCAGGCGTGTGATGCTGCCAGTCTGCACCAGTTTGAATGAACCGGTACGAACGATGATCGTTTGGCCATGGCTACCTGCCCCCGCCCTTGTCTGTCCTATATTTCTGCAGTTTTGCAGCTCAGCTGAGGGACGGCACAGTGGATTGCCGCTCCTCAGCTGTTTTACAGGCGCTGTAAGTTGAGCTGTAAATTGGAGGTTTTGGAATGCTCCGCGCACACACACACACACACGCACTTCGCATCCAACCGCTGACCTCACCTGGTTTCCAAGGTTTTCCTTGCCAGGTGCTGATGGTGACCCCTTCCGGAATCCTCTGATCGATGCCCTCCCAGTAGACACCGCCTTCGCTGGTCTCGGCCACGTTGGTGAAGATGGTGTTACGTTGGATGGTGTGCATGGCATTCGGGTTGGTCCGAGTGGATGTTCCTGGGGCTACTCCGAAAAAGCCATTCTCAGGGTTGATGGCACGCAGGCAACCTATATGTGGGAAAGAAACCCCAGCAGGTAGTTATTCCTCACCGTAACGGCCTCCGAATCTCCTTTTCCCTGTCGTAAAGTCAGACTCAAATCCTTGGGCTACCTGGGAGCCAAATTCATGCCCTAAGGGCCACTGGGGGGATTGCAAACTCAGTTTATATTGTTGCCAGAATGGGCACCGAGTTTTGGTCCGAACTGGTTCTCTTTGCTGTATCACCGCTTTGCTTAGGGACAGAAGTCCCACCGAGGTCATAAGTCGAGAACTACCTGCTTTTTCCTAAAACACACATACCTCCCTGCCTCCCTCTGAGCCCCAGCACCCAAATCACCTTCGCTGTCAAACTTCATCCAGGCAATATCGTCCCCAACGCATTCCACGCGCCAGCCCGGCAAGGTCGGATTCATCATGGCTAAATTGGTCTTTCCGCATGCACTTGGAAAGGCGGCCGCCACATATTTCTTCTTTCCTTCTGGGTTGGTGAGTCCCAGAATCTGCAAGAAACCGTAGAGGAAAACGTGCCACATTTTGACAGGCGCCAAGCTCAAGAGATCAAAACTCTTCTTTGCAATAAACTAGGTTTGCCCTTCTCAGCCACCAGGCGCAGATTACAAAAATCCAGGTAACCATCATACCGTGTTTCCCTGAAAATAAGATGCTGTCATATATATATATATATATATATATACACACACACACACACACACACACACACACACACTTTCCACCAAAAAAAGGCACCAGGTCTTATTTTCGGGGGATGTCATCCACTGACTAACCTCACTTGTGTGTGTCACCCCTGGCCTCCTTTTCGCTGTCAGAGGCCTTCAGGAACTTCTTCTGTGGACAGCAAGGCTTTCCTGAAGGCCTCTGCAGCTGATAACAGAGCTCCGGATCGTTCCAGAACTTTCTTATCAGCTCCGGAGGCCTTCAGGAAAGCCTTGCCGGCCTTGCTGGCTGCAGAAGAAGCGGGACGGCAAGGCAGGCGTCGGGGTGTGCAAGGCCTGGCTACAACTGTCCAAAGGTAAGTAGTAGGGCAGCTCCATCCCCACCATTCATCCCCACCCTAGCTTAATTTTTACCCGTGCACTCAAATCAGCACTCTCTTCATTAGGGTTTATTTTGGGGGTAGGTCATATTTTGGGGAAAACAGGGTAGTTAGAGGCTTCTGCATCTCTCTGTTATCACTGTCTCCCAGTTTCCCAGTCCAGAAATGTTAACTCAGTGCTCTTCAACCTTGACAAGTTTAAGATGGGTGGACTACAACTCTCAGAATTCCCCAGCTGGCATGAAATCCACCCATCGGAAAAAATCCTGCTGGCTGCATTTACAGATAGTCCTCGACTTACAACAGTTCACTTAGTGACCATTCAAAGTTGCAACAGCATGGAAAAAGTGAATTATGACCACTTTTCACACTTAAGACTATCACAGCGATCTCATGATTTACATTTGCATGCTTGACAACTGAATTCACATTTGTGACGGTTGCAGTGTCCCCGGAATTTATGTGATCACCATTTGTGACCTTCTGATAACCTGACAACCTGAAGCCTGATTCACTTAGCAACCATGTCACTAACTTAAGAAGAGCAGTGATTCACTTAACAAATGTGAGAAGAAAAGTCGTACAAAGGGGCAAAATTCACTTAGGAAATTTCTCACTTGGCAACATAAATGTTGGGCTCAATTTGTGGTCATAAGTTGAGGACTAC